ACCAGCTCCTGCAGGCACAGCTGCTCTCCACAGGCCCTGTGCTAACAGACACGTCCAGCCTCTGCTCAGGGCAGCTCCTCTCCCTGCTGAGCATCCACAGGGAAACAAGGCTGAGCTCACGTGTGCCCCAGTGTTGGACCAGGAGTCAGGCTGCAGCCGGAGAATGGCAGGGGGGAAAGGGAGAGGGACAGGGACAGGTCTTCATGGGGGGACCCTTAGCCTGTATCAGGCAGTGAGAGAACTTCCAGCACACAGCCCATGCAAACTGAGGGACAGAAGAGGGACTCTGACCACCTGCACCTGCAGAGAACACTTCAGCATGGAGGTGTGTCAGTGCCATGAGTTACAGAAGCTGCTCCCCATGGAACGGCTGACCCTCTCCATCCCCTGTGAGAAGCTGAGCATGAGGAGCTCACAGGGTGCTTGGCCTGGAGGCCAGCTTTTGCCCTCAGAAGGATGAAAGTCTTCTTGGCAATGGCCCTGCTCACCTTTCTTCTCCAGGTCAGCTCTTATTATCTGAATCTCATTCTTTGTGGACTCCTTTGATATGTTGAAATCTTTATGCAGAGCTTGTATTTTTTTGTTGAGGTCCTGCAAGTCTTCGTTCCTCTCGGATTCCAGCACCTTGTTGCTCTTCTCCCACTTTTTCCTTCCTGTAGAAAAAGATTGGTATCACTGCGAAACTGACAGCTCTCCCTTGCTTGGGAGAGAACCCATCCTCTCTTAGAGTGCTCATGTCTTCTCTTTTTAGTCCCTTATTGAGGGTCTTTTCTTAGATCTTGATGCAGGTCGGTTTTTTGTCCCTCAATCTGGAGAAAGAATCACTTCAGAGGAATTAAACACTGTGCTTAATATGCAATCCAGAAATAGATTCTTTTTTTACTTTATTTTTTTATTCGGACAGCAAACAAAAAGGTCAGACTTAGTTCCCTCATGTCCTGTCTCTTTACTGATTTGTTTGCTTCAGACCTCTTTTTCTTTAGATTATCCTTTCTAATTTAGCAGCCTTTGAAAAGAATTCACTCATCCCTGAAAAACAGAGATGTGGAATTCACAGGCTGATGCACCTGTGGTTATCACATACCACCATTCTGGTTTTCAAATCCTTTTCAAACAGGAGTTTGCTGTGGGAAGAAGCCTTGGCCTCCCTACTGTAGCCCCAGTTTTCTTCCTGACATGTTTTTCTCTAACAGTTTTGCCTGTTGGAAGGAGTCTTGGCACCACTGAGAGCCCTTCTAAACATGGGCTTGGAGCTCCTGTGCAGCTGGTGAGGAACACTAGGACTAGCTTCATTGCCTCCTCACTTCCACTGGACCATGAGGGAGAGCCCAGGCCATGCTAAATTCCAAGTGTCCCCTGTGGGAGTGACATTCCCCTGCAAGCATCCCAGCTTGAAAGAGCTGGGAGCAGGAGAATAGCTGTCCTTAGAACCCAGGGGGTGGGATCCAGCAGGGGCCAGGCTGTGCTGGTCTGTGCAGGAAAAAACCCACTGCAGAGACATCTCTGCACCCTGGGATCCCAGGGTCCTGGGCATCTGCATGGAGATGGACAATGTAACAAAGGACTGGCTGGAGGCCTTTGGAAATGGGAATTTATGGACAGGTAGGATTGCTTGATATGACTGCACTAGGCCCTCATACACAACAGCCCTCTGGATCTCCTCCCTGCTGGGCAGGGTTTAGTTTCCAGGTAGTGTGGGCATGGACTGGTACTCACCTGCAGAAAGGTCCCTGTAGCTAAGCCCAGGATGAGATTCCTCCTTCAGTGCTCAAAGAAAGGAAATCCCAGAAGGGATGTGATATGTCTCTGAAATCGTTACCAATTGTGAGGAACAGCCCCTGCTAGAGGTGTCCCTGGTCAAAGAAAGCCACCCCTCTGACCAAACTGATCCCAGGCCAAAGGCCAGGCCTTCTGCTGTGCTCTGGAAGGGGTTCTGCAGGCAATGTGCTCAGGGGAGACAACTCCACTGGCCTCACTTCTCTCAGGGATAACACATCCCATCCCAAGGGTTCCCAAGGATGGCCACAGATAAGAGCAATGGGATCCAGCATACTTACTGCATTCGTCGATAATAATTTCTACAACTCTCTCAACCAGAGTAAAAGCAAATGCTGCAGCTGGACATCAGGTACATATGAAAATAAAATCAAGAAGAAAAAGAGGACATTTAACAGGGACCTTTTCCCAAGGAACTCCAGGACTGCACTGAGCAGGTTCTGGGGCAGAACACATCCCACAGCTGGCCCAGGAGCCCCACAGCAGTGCTGGGGGGTTCCTGACCCTCAGGCCCAATGAGGCTCTCCTGGGCCAGCGAGCTGCCTCAGCTGCCACAGCACTCAGGCACCAAACAGGTGCCTCAGCCCCACCAGAGCACAGCCACCCATGAGAGGGTGAGACTCTTCTGCCTCCCACTCTGAGAGTGGAGAGAGACCTCCCACGTTCCTTCACTGTCCCTTGACACATTCATTTCAGCCTGACCCTCAAAGCCCTGCTCAGCAACACCCCCTGCTAGAGTGGGATGTGTCCCTGGTTAAAGGAGGTCATGCCTCTGACCAAACTGATCCCAGCTCAAAGGCCAGGCCTTCTGCTGTGCTCTGGAAGGGGTTCTGCAGGCAACGTGCCCAGGGGAGACAACTCCACTGGCCTCACTTCTCTCAGGGATAACACATCCCATCCCAAGGGTTCCCAAGCATGACCACAGACAAGAGCAATTGGATCCATGAGTCCACACTTACTTATGGACTCAAATTGGCCTCCTTGGTCATGCTGCCATGAACTCCCTTTTTTTGTGGCCATTAGGTTCATATGAGAAGGAAAAGAAAAATGAAAAAGAGGAAGCGTCACTATGATATTTCCCTAAGGATTTAAAAAATGCATTTAAGAGCTTTTTTGGGACACATATATCCCTTATACTACTCAAACCTCTGATCTACTCAGGATCTTTTAATTTACTTATTTTCCCTTCCGTGATTGTCCAAACAGAATGCAGCACTTACCAAGATATTCAGTCCTTGTTTCTTGTCTCCTGTATCCTTTTCTCAAGGTTCACTCTGCAATGCGAGGGAAAAGAGGGGCAAAATCTCTGTGGTGAGTGCAGGACTAGAGAAGATAATGCAGTTGTTAAGATGTTCTGTTGTACTCTCAGCTGTTCCCTAACTCATCTTGTCTGCCCTGCAGCTCTGAGAATTCTCACAGACATCATCCTTCTTGGTCAAAATTAAGACCTTCTGCTTTTGCAGAGTGCAGAACCTGGTGTTCAACCCCAGCCACAATTTTCCACAGTGGAAAGGGACCATTTTCCATTATTTCCAACTCAAATTCTGGAGATTATCCTGACCAGCTGTCCTAGGCTGACGTGATGTGTAGCAGGCCCCATGGGGCTGGTGAGAGCTCCATAGAGGATTGAGATTTAACAGTAGGAGCTGCTGAGTCATGATGAGACAGCAAAATGAGCTCCTGTCTCTGACCACTGCCCCAAAGCTTATCTCTGTAACTCATGGGCCACTATCCCCAACCCTTACTATTGGACAAGTTTGGATCCCCCTATACCTGATAAAAAGGGCCTGTTTTAGCCCATTCAACAGAAGAAGAGCCATCACTGGGACCCTTCACAGTCTCCCCAATAAAACCATCACTGTGGAACACCAGCACTTCTCTCTTGCGTCTGCTTCTGCCTCAGCGAAGGGCACCCTACCAAGCAA